CTAAATATAGCCGGCGTGGCCATCCACGAGGCGCGCCTTGTCTATCCAATCTTCTTTGGTGCACCATGCCCCAGCTGGGGTCATGGGTGTCAGGTCCGTACGGACCGCACGCCGCTGGGGTCGGCCGGCATGGCATGGCCGTCGGGGCATGACTGCGACGTCCGCAGCTGCCCGCCGGCCGCCCACGCTCCGGCGTACAGCACTCCTGCACACGTGCAGGTCATCACTCGGGCCCGGCGCTCCAAGGGTGCGGCGTCGGCAGAACGACGAGCCGTGCACGACCGGGATGGCGACGGAGGTCGTCTGCTCGCGTGTGCACGTGCTGTTCGGAGGGCTCGGCCGCCACGGTGGTCCGCACGTGGCTCGACTCCGGGAGCCGTGGATCTGGCGGGGCTGCAGAGGCCAGCCTGACTTTACTCGACTCCGGGAGCCGTGGATCTGGCGGGGCTGCAGAGGCCAGTCTGACCTCACTCGATTCCGGGAGCCGTGAATCTGGCGGGGCTGCAGAGGCCAGCCTGACCTCACCCGACTCCGGGAGCCGTGGATCTGGTGGGGCGGCAGAGGCCAGCCCGACCTCACTTGACTTCGGGAGCTGTGGATCTGGTGGGGCTGCGGAGGCCAGCCTGAGCTCCCCAGACATTGGGTGACACTCAGGCTGGTGCGATACGCCGCTATGGGCTGGACGCGCCACCTTTGGCGTCTTCTCATTAACCCCGGACCAACACCCGGACATGCACGAAATGGTCGGTAAAACAGCGATCCTCTAGTCGTTGAACACAGTTTAGTGGCACCTTCTTTTGGCAGTTTTCCATGTAACACAATGCTCATCTCTTTTTGCAGTCATATATCCATCACTCCAGCTATTGTTTATGCGCTGTGACCAAGGGAGAACTGTGGCGGAGGCTTGCCCTGCCATCTTTAAAGTTTATGGTTTATGATGTGTCTTTCGTCCATTTGGTCACAGCAGCACGTAACCGACGCAACATCAAGAAAACCGAGAATGAAACATCTGTGTTAAACACGCGCCGGGGTGGGTGAGGGTAAAATTGACCCCACTGAAGGCTTTCCAGAATGATTGCAGAACGGCGCGGCGCAGCCACGCCAAATTTTGCTTAGCTGTAGAAAATTGAATACTGGATCGTGTGGTATTAAACATTTAGATGTACCTTGAACGGTCGCTGACCTATGGCAGGTCAAAGTCAGGCCATAGTTTCAGCGAAGTCAATTGCTAGGGAGTCGTTTAATCTGATGCAACAAAGGAGTGTTAGACCAGGCCGTACATCTCTAAGATGCTTTCCTAGAGAACAGAAATATTCAATGAGCAAATTACGTTGACCTAAGGTCAGGTATAAAGGTCAGACCAAGTTTAAACCAACCTGTTTTATTATTCTTAGGGCTTGCTGTATGGCGTGGTTTCTGGTGCTCTTTTCGAGTCTAGTGATGACAGGAACCGCATTATACATTTTCCATGAACATCTTGGAAGTCAGAATAGGTTATTGACCTAAGATGACCCAGGTCAACATTTTGTTTTTAGAGACATACTGCCTAGCGTTATCTTTGTTGCTTATTCAAATGGAACACTCGGAGCGGTCTTGTATGATTTTGGTCACCATGACCTTCAACAGGTCAAATTAGGTCACTGACCTTAGATGAGCATTGCTTAGAAACAGTTAGCTAGGTTCTAAGGGCACTTTGGAGACTTACCTGGATTTCGACCTTGCTTGACCTTATTTGACCCAAAGATCATGACCTAGGTACCTCAAGCTTAGACCTAAGTGAGTACACGTGCAGGTCAACACACCCTGTAAATGTGGTGTCTCTAGCTCTATTAGTTCTCGAGATTTCAGGGGGGGGGCAAATTGACCCCCCTATCCGAGCGAAGGGTGTCTAGCCGGTCACCTAGGCGTGTGTTAAGAAAAATGCTGAGCAATGTCCGCATAAACAGGGTTTTCTTGCAGACACCTGCAGCTGATCACAACCTGCATAATTTTTTCCCGGCCGTACGATCACTGAAACACAAAGTCACACACACGCACACACACACACACACACACGCCAGCTGCATCAACTGACGCACATACAGCTAAATAGGCGATTCGAAATTGATATACCTGTCTGTGCGAGCACCATCTGCTGTTTTGTTTTGTTTTGTTTTGTTTTTTTTTTTGCTAGCGTCACTCGCCCTGTCCAAAATCGATAGCAGCGTGAGATATGCCCTGATCTCCCTGCCCGGCGACACGTGGGGAGCCTTTGTGCGCGCGTGACCCCAGCTTCTGTCCGGCTCCTGTCACCTCGTGGTTCACGCCGTAGCCGCCAGTCTCACAGAAGCCGCAGAAGCCGCGGTAGCCTGACACCATCCACGACAGATGGATGGTCGGCCACTGGTCCGCCTGGGTGACGCGCAGTGATGCGGGGACGTCCGATTCGCGGCCGCCAGCCTGTCTGTATCGGAGCGGCCGCCGGCCTGTCTGGATCAGGGTCGCAGCCGGTCTGTCTGTATCGGAGCGGCCGCCGGTCTGTCTGGATCGGATCGGCAGTCGGTCTGTCTGTATCGGAGCGGCCGCCAGTTCGTCTGGATCTGAGCAGCCGCCGGTCCATCTGGATCGGACCGACCGCTGGTCAGTCTGGATCAGACCGACCGCCGGTCCGTCTGGATCGGACCGACCGCCGGTCCGTCTGGGTCGGACTGGCCGCCGTCGTGCCCGGTCAGAGCAGTCGCGCCGGCCGGCTGTGCTGGGAGGGGCGCGCGCGGCGCGGCGACCCGGCGCCAATGGTCAATAATTTATGGCTCGTTCTCGGGAGGGATGGTTTGTAGTCTTCTTTGTTGGAGGAGAAAGAGCCTCTCCCCGGCCGTCGCCGATAGCATCGGCACGACTTATGACGCGGCCCTGCTTTTATGAAGCATATAAGGTCAACGAGACGGACGCCGTGATAATGACCAGCTGACCGTTGTTTGTGAGGCGCGGCGCGTAACAGCCTGGGTGGTCCATGCCGCCGATGGCACTGCAAAAACGACCATGAGTGCCTCCGTGTACTGGCGAGGGGCCGGTACTCGCTGTGAAAGACGCTGAAGCCGACGTCATGACGCATACGGCATTGCGCCGTCGCTGATTGCCCACTTAACGTCGTCCGAGCCATAACTCATCGTCAACTCGGCGGCCCCAAATGCTAATGGCGGGCCCTGATATCATCATCGCCAAGCGGCTGCGGCGCGTTTTTGGTGTGCGTTCCGCGTCCGGGTCGCCGCGCACCCGGCGTGGCCTGTGCCTCTGTTTGACCTCGGAGCCTGGGAATCGCTTGACCCGCCGGACACAGCGTCGCACAACGGCCTGTGATGAGAGCGCCCGGCCTGAGCAGGCTGCGTAGGCTGCGCTGCGGCGTGCTCCGGCCTCGGCTGCACTTGTTGCTGCTGTGTGGAACTGCGCCTGCTCAGCGCCGGATCAGCTCAGTGCCATTGTGGTGCAGGTTCAGTACTCCGACTTCTTGTCGAGCCCAGCCCGCGCGCACCGGCTCGCAGCTGTCTTGTTTACCTTTGAATGAGCAAACATATGCCCTATGTTCATTAAATTTATCGACACACTTAGTCTGTATAGGTGGTCATTACGCACAGTAAGAACAAAAGATAAGTTTGTATGTCATGTACGTGAACAGATATGCATTGTGTAACATAGAATGTCCCACGTGGTTTTCCCGCCTTTTGTTTTATACTCCGCAACGCGAGGGCAATAACCTCACTCTTCACATGACTGAAATGCATTGCAACGTCCTGCAACGAGATTATTTCGACAAGACTATCAGTAGGAATGGGAACAGGCCGGTTGTAGTACGACGATATTTAATTATACCTAAACCGGAGTGACCTCCTTGAAGTTGAATGCCTTTTTTCTGAAGAACCTAACAGCATGCTCGAAGATTTACGCATGAATTTCTGGGTCAATTTCCACTGGATTAAATGTAAGTTTGGTTGATTGTGTTTGGCAGCCTTGCTTATCTCGCTCGTAGTTCACTCCGACCTATGCAGCGTATTGCAGTTGAAGTACACGATCTAGCCAGCTTCAAACATTGCGCCTTATGATGGCTCAGGAGTGGCCGGCTGACGGCGCCACTCGGCCGACGCCCGCCGACCGGCGCGTCGTCGCCGACGGTGTGGGGCTGGGGGGGGGGGGGACGCCGTCGCGCAGCTGCCGCCGGTGTCGTTCACCTTCGAGGGCGTACGTGACACGTGCCGGCTATGGCGGCCGCAATCGATTTGTCGTCGGTCGTGGTGTCTGCGGGACGCAGGAGCTGACTTCTGCCTCCTCCCCGCCGCAGATGACCCGGAGAGGTGGGGTGTGGGAGCGGGCCAGGTGTCCGAAGTCATTCGATCTGGGGGAGGGGTGTCCGGCGGCGTCGAGACGCCACCCTTCTGACCGCTGACCGTCAGTGGTGGCGGTCCTCCGCGAGGGGGAAGGGGAGAGCGGGGATGGGGGAACTCTCGGGCGGCGACAGGAACAGTATCGGCTGATTTGACGCGGTGCTTCTGGTGACAGCCATAGTTTAATTACTAATCGCAAACTGGAGCGTACAAAAGCCCCTGCTATTGGGTGAGCCGGGCCTGTTTTTGAAGTGAGTGCCTTTCCATGCATTACCATCCAGCCATACACCACCAAGTCAAATATTTACGAGATGTTTGAGTTTTACGCCCTACGCCCCCTCCTTGTTCTAACGTCCATGATTAAAAGTGGTTCATGTTCCTACCATGGAATTAACCATGTCATTTTAGCAGCTGCAGGCCAAAGCATTTGCTCAGAATTGCTATAATTGCCGGCGGTGTATCTTTTCACCGCGGTGCAGACACAACACGCTAACAACCGCGCGGTTGGCTGCTGCTGACATGGCGCTCGTGGCTGCAGCTGGAGCCGCTGTATCCGGAGAGGCACTACGACCTGGTGGTGCGGCCGACGGCGGGGGCCGGCGACGACCCGGCCTGCGACTGCGCTGGCCCACCGCCGCCCCAGTTCCTGCTGCCGCCGCCGCCCGTCGACCCGGCCTGGGCCGCCGCCGACGCCGACGTCTGTGATATCGTAGCTCCGTATCAAATCTGCAGCGGCCTTACCGTAAGTGGCTCTCGGCGCGATGTCTGCGCTGATACGTGCATGTTGATAGCGGACTGTCGCAACAGACGCGTGGTCCACGTCGTCCTCGGGTTGCCACATGACGTATGGTGCTGGTCCTGTGATGATTTCGTACCCAGATCCCATTGCGCCCTCTTGTGTCTTTGAAGAGCGGGTGTAAACACACAACAGGCCGTGTAGGAGGCCAACGGGCGCACGACATCCTTTGCTGACCCCAACGTGTTGACCGGCGCATGGGCTGCAACGTCAATGTTCACTGTAAATCGTGTTTCGCCTATCAGTTTAACCTATGCTGGTATCCACGAAAGGGAGAATGTACCGTACGCAAGAATGATACTTAAAGCAATGCGAGCACTATGAAGCATAAAGCCCCATGAAGCTAGGCAGCTTCATCGTGCCAGAGCTGTGCTGCTGCCTCCGCGCCGCCGGGGTCGGACAGGATCTGTTGCAGGGGGTGCCTCCCGGCACGGACCTGCAGGCTCGCCGTCCATGTCCGTGCTGGGATTGGGTAGTGACGGCAGGATGTGTTACAGGGGGTGCCTCTCGGTGCGGACCTGCAGGCTCGCCGTCCATGTCCATGCTGGGGTTGGGTTGTGACGGCAGGATCTGTTACAGGGGGTGCCTCTCGGCGCGGACCTGCAGGCTCGCCGTCCATGTCCATGCTGGGGTTGGGAAGTGACGGCAGGATCTGTTACAGGGGGTGCCTCCCGGCGCGGACCTGCAAGGCTCGCCGTCCATGTCCATGCTGGCAGCTCTCATCACTACCTCGCTTTTTCTTTTCATTGTTCTGGTGTCTGGAACAATATTCTTCTGCAAGTGAGTATTGCCTTTCGAGGTCTGCACAGTGCTGATCTGCGCGATCATCAGTTGCAGTTGCAATGCAGTTTTTCAAGCCTGCGCATTGTTCAGTCGGATATTGAATGTAATGTCGGTGAAATCTTACTCAGTCTCTTGCAGCGTGAAATATGTGTGGCAAGTCTGACAGTTTTCCAGACACGCACTGGATTACGGTGATGTGAAATCAATCGTGGGTTACAATGGCCTGCGACTCACGCTTCACGCGAAGCAGTGGTTAAACTTCAAGATAGATTATTGCTCAATAGGAAAAACTACACTTCCGGTAGCTGGTTCCTTACTTGTTCACGAACAACAGCCAATAAATTTCGATTGATGGTAGGATTTCGTAACTTCCGGAGACTACCGGGTTTGAATGTAACTGAACGAGCTGTTGCTTTTCTTTTGACGGTCACGTTGAACCGCGTGCCAGGGGACCAGATGACTCAGATTTGGAGAGCAGTCTCCTGGCTGACTAGCGTAGCTCGCCCGCCGCAGGCACGCGCGCCACTCACACCCCTGGCGACACCGGAACCCGCTCACGATCCGCCGGCCTTGACCTGCGTCGTCCCGCGCCGCGCGCCACACCGTTGCGCGGCATCCGTCATGCTGGCGCTTCAGCTCTGGTCCCCAGCTGCCGCCGTCATCCGCCAGCCCGCCGCTGATTGGCCGCAGCGCGCGCCGTGGTGATGCCCGCGGCGGAGGAGCGCCGGCCGGCCCCCGCCCTGTCACGTGCTCAGCCGGAGGTTGCGTTCTTCCGCGGCTCTAATAGCTCGGGCCACGCCACCAACAACGGCCGTCTCCCCGCCATCGCCGCCCGAAGCAGACGCAATATCCCGCGCCGCTCGCGCCGGCGAAGTACGCCGCGGCGGCGCAATATTCGGCGCAGAACGCTGCCGGTCGCGGCAGGCGGCGCGCCGTGCCGACTTCGGCGGCGGCGTGTGAGCGACGGCGGCTCCCAGAATAGCGCGCCGCAGTCCGGTGTCGGAATGCGCGACTGGCGCGGCATGTCGGCCGGAATGTGTCGCGTCGAGACGCGCTACGAGACGCCATTCGACACATGATTGCGCCGGATGCCTCGCGCGATGAAGGCGGAGGGAGAATCCGGCCGTCGGCACGGACGCGCGTCAACATGTTTGCCTGCTGAGTTATTGATCGCGCGCCGAATTCAGATGCGGTAGAGTACGATTATGGCAAGATATTGTGATTATAATACTCAGTTCATGTTTGTGGAAAAAGTTGGAGACATGTGCTGGATAAAGTGCAACGTGTTGCGGTCTTCAAAATTGGGATGTTTTTGCATTGCCTTTGAATGAATGTAGATGTATGCATGTACGCGCCATGGCCGGACCAATGCAACGAAATCAAACTTTTGAGCAGTGGTTGACGTCACGATATCTTCGGTAAGCTCTTGCGCGAGCTTTTACAAAAATAGAATGGAGCAACAGCATTATAAGTCACTTTCTTTGGTTACATCGTCTATCATGAATGCCTGATATCTAGATAATGACTGTTGCCACTGTAACGCTTCTATCTTCACTCATGTTTCGGTGTCAAATGATCGGAACGAGTGTAGGTTTGGCATCGGCGAGATTATGATACGGCCAGGTGTAGATATTGCTACTTTTCGTTTTGCGATGCAAGCACTCGGATGCGAGCAGAGAAAATATTCAGACACAAGCAGGGACCTGTAGCGCGGAGACCGTTCAAACAGGAATGCGTGCAAATCAGAACCACAAGGCCGACGTCCGGCCGCGGCGTCTTTGACCCGAACCGGCCCGCTGGAGTGGAACGGCTTCGCACGCCGTCCCGGCGCAGCTGCAGCCTGGTTTTCACAGTTTCCGAGCGAGCGCCTCCACTTCCCTGGCATCTGCCTTTGTCACGCGAGCCGCACCAGGGTGGCGCCGCCATTTTCCGACCAATTTCACACACACACGGTAAAAAGGCGTCCGCCGCGCCGCGCACGGCACGGGCAACGGCGCGTTCTCACGCGCCCCGCAATTGTCGGGGACGCACACGATTTCCCGAGAAGTAAAATGTGGAGTATTTTGAACGGTAGCGGGCGTTCGATCTTCATTTGGCGGCGTTTGCGCGTCCCCCGGTCCCAGGGCAGTTTTTCTTTCATCGGGCGGATCCGCCCATGTTCCGCGTGGCGGCCTCTGATGCGGAGATGCGGAACGACGCGGCCACCCGATCCCGCCACCCCAGAGCGGCTCTCGGACACCTGGTCGGGTCACCCCCGAGTGGGTCCCGGCCACCTGATTTTGCCACCCCGGAGCGACTCTCGGACACCTGATTCCGCTACCCCAGAGCGGCTCCCGGCCACCTGATTTCGCCGCCCCAGAGTGGGTCTCGACCACCCGACGTCGGCGCCCCACAACGGCCCCCAGTCCGCTGTTTCCGCTCGGGCGGGCCTTGTTCTGGGAGCGGACGCGTGGTCCATGGGAGATGGACAATAGCAATTTGGCACTGCAGTGCATTGGTCATTCGGTGATTTGGCCCCTCTGACATTCAAATTCGCTAATTCAAAAATTTTGCTGCACAAACCGTAGAAAATTTGTCTGCTATGCAATTGCAATTAAGTGTTGAGGGTTGGACATTTTATGTGGGTGTATATACGGCGCGGAAGGAATCCTTTACGGTGGTCGCAGTTTCGCCCCATACACCTGTGCCACGCGACCATCTGTTTTTCCTGCGCGGAACAGGCCAATTGTTCTGTATCGCGCCCACAGTGAGGTGGTAGGAAAAGCAGTATTATATGACACCGCTACCAGGCTTGGGTGTGCTACACACGTGCCCACCCGCCTATCCCTGGCACACATGTGGTCACGCGATTGTCTGTCGGCTGAGGGAACGCTGTCAAGCACTGCGGATCATGGAGATAGACCGCGGACGGATTTTGCCACTACGATATATCAGAACCAAACGGCAGTGCAATAACCGGAGGGTCGTGCGTGCCGCCACATGAAGATGGATGGGATCGAGCCGTGCGCTTTTTTGCCCCTTTCGGTCTGTCACATCCCCCGTCATTTCCTCATGTAGCCCCCCCCCCCCCCCCCACATGAATCACAAACGACCAATGAGAATCTCAATTCGAGTCAGCTCACAGGTTACCGTGTGCGCTCTCGCTCTGCAGACACCGGCGCAGACTAAGCGGCATCATGTCAGCCAAGGGCGCGGGAAAGCGCGGTGACAACTCCAGGATGTTGTACGACGACCTGTCGCTGCGCCCGCACGTCATGCCCAACAACCTAAGGCCGAGCGGACCGCACATCGAGGTAGGTCGATGGTGTCAGACGACGCATGCCGTCGGTCATCTGAGCCTGGTCATGCTTGAGGTGTGATGGTATGTGTTTGTCAAGCTAAAGCGTTGTGCTGTGATTAACCGTGCGGTGTCCCGGCCGTGCCTGTATCACGGGCCGTCCCCTGCTACGGGGTTACTTCGTGGTGAAGGGGATGTGTTAAGTCATCCCTTTGAATGTGACTATTAAAGCAGGTCGACTTCTTCATACGTGCCACAAAACATCTATGATGCAAGCTCAATATTCATCAGCTTTAGGCGTAGTTCGCTGCAGAACGAGCCGTGCCGTTCCCATGTGAGCGTGATGGGGATCCCGCCGGGGAGCGGTGCCGCCCCTGTGCCGACCTGAACACCCTCGGCCGTGTCGGCAGATGGTGGCCGTGAAGGGACAGTGTCCGCAGCTGCTGCCGAGCCGGCCCACCGGCACCCTGTTCGTGTACCCCCCGCCGCCGTCCCTCACCGACGACGGCTCCGAGCGGCTGTCCAACATGTATGAGGAGATACCCTACTACGGTACGTGACGCTAGAGATCGTCCGATGGGCGGCTCGCGGCTCGGCTCGCGCACGCGCGCCTCCCGTGCCGCTGTACTTACTGGGCTGGCGGCTCACATCCTTTTTTGGGAGGCGGTGGTGGGAGAGGGAGGAGGTGGGTATGTGCGGTGCAGAATTGCAAGCGTGGATGCTTGTTTGTAGGTTGAGCGGAATTTCGTCAAATGCGCGTTACCTTTCCAGGCACGTGTGACATGAAGTATAGTTGATCGCTAGTTCAATGTTGGGGCGGGGGGGCTCATGTTCAAACTATAAAATAACAAAACCGCAAGAAAATTTATTTCCTTTTAGTTTTGTGGTTGGGGTTTTCCGTCTTGTTTACATCCTGTGTCCGCTAGCATTTTACAATGCTGCTCTTCTAGTGTAAAGATTTCCGTACACAATGGGCAGCATGAGCTATCACATAGAAACGGCTGGCACCACGTGATTACCAGCGCCGTGTTGCGCCATGTCTAGATCAGCTCTGCAGCCAGCGTCAGGTGGTTTGTGTCGGCAGGCCGACCGGCGCCGTCCGTGTCCTACTGCTCCGACTCGGACGAGGAGGAGCTGAGCCGACCCTCCGACGACGACCGGCGGCCGCACCCCTACATCCCCGTCGGCAGCGACGACGGCGGCGACGCGCGGTACGTGCGCACGCTGCCGGCGGCCGGGCCGCCGCGCCGGGGCCAGGCGCGGCGGCCGACCAGCGCCGACCGCCGCCGCCAGTCGCCCACCAGCCCCGCCCGCGGGCCCGGCCGGACGACCCCCGTGCGGCGTGACGAGTCGCTGCGCCGAAAGGACCCCTACTACTACTCGGACATTCTGGCGAGGGAGGCCGGCAGCCTCGACGGCCCGGGCGGCGACGGTCCTTACGGGCGACGGGGTGACGAGCGGCGGCCGACCAGCCGCGGCCCGCGCTACCACCGGCCGGACGTGACGTCGGCCGACCGGGGCCCGGCGTCGCCCGACCCGGACTATGTCAGCCCGCTGGCCCACCGGCTCATGCTGGACCCGTTCATGGACGTGTACCCCGGCGACAGCGAGAGACTGCGCCCCCGGCACAAGCTGAGCTCGTTCAGAAGTGGCGGCGGCGGGGCGCCGCGCGCGCAGGCGGCTTCGGATCCGAGCCGGATGTACGTGAACGCGCCCGACGGCAGTGTGCAGGTGAACAGTGACGGCAGGGACGAGGAGGTGCGATATTATCCGGAGCCACAGTGGGGTTAGGGTCGCCTGGAACACGCTCGCCTCCGAGCCGTGCAAGCCTTGCGAGTGCAGCTAGCGATGGTAGCTAACGTGACACCAGTGTTGAAGGAAACGCGCCGTGATATGTGCGTGTGTGTGGTGACAGATTTGCTGAGCTGCACCGTGAGATGCGTCCGAATTACCGCAGCAGTGACTTTCGAAGGCTCAGACCAAAACTGCGGCTGGACCCGTTTTGTGTTACGCTCGCGTTTACGACCAGAATTCACGTTTCGTGAGCACGTTTGCGATCATTTAGCCGCATGATTTGCTCGTGTCAACTGTGCGTGGTGGATGCATCCGCCCTCTAGTCCATGTGTGTCCCGGTCGGGATGTCTGTGATAGCCCCGTGACGTCAGCGCGTAGCTGGACCCGAGCCGCAAATACAAGCTCAGACCAACTGGCACTGTCATCAGCCCTATTCGGCGCAGGCCCACAGTATAGCTCCACTGTCCATGTAAACAAGATGCGTTAACTAGCATCAAATTAGTATCTCCATCCACTTATGGTAAAGCCGGTAAATGCGCCACAAACACCGCCATCAATCACGCGTCCACGGCCATACCAGGCGCGCCTCGCTACGCCTCTTATCCGGCAAATTGGCGTCCGCAGAGGCGGCCGAACCGTTGATCGGCAAGCCGGGCTATGGGTGGCGGGTCAGGGGAGTCCATGGACGGTGAGGGCAGGTCAGTCTATGGACGGCGAGGTCAGGTCAGTCTATGGACGGCGAGGTCAGGTCAGTCTATGGACGGCGAGGTCAGGTCAGTCTATGGACGGCGGGGTCAGGTCAGTCTATGGCTGGCGGGGTCAGGTCAGCATATGGGCGGCGCGATCAGGTCAGTATATGGACGGCAGAGTCAGGTCAATCTATGGACGGTGAGGTCAGGTCAGTCTATGGCTGGCGGGGCTCAGTCAGTCTATGACTGGCGGGCTCAGGTCGGTCTATGGACGGCGAGGTCAGATCAGCCTGTAGACGGCTGGGTTAGGTTGGTCTGTGGGCAACGGGATCAGGTCAGTCTGTGAACGGCAAGTTCAAGTCATGCTGTAGGCGTAGTGGTCAGGTAACGTTACGGGCGGTGGAGTCAGGCCACGCTGCTGTCCGGACCAACCAGCACACACTCCCTGGAGCGGAGCTGGCAGAGTGCCGGCTCTGGACCTCCACCCCGGGCCGCTCAGGCCAGCCGCTCGGCTGAATCACACGCGCTGGCGGCGCACAACAGGAGGGAAGCCCGGCCCGGTGACGTCAGCCGGGGAGGCGGCTCAGCGACAGGTGATTTACGCGGCGCGGCGCTGTTGATGTTGGCCAGCCGGACAGGCGCCGGCGGCCCCCTCTAATTATCGATACGACACTCACCAGACGCCGGTGTTTTGATGTTTATATCAGTCAGACGGGGGTGGCGGTGATGTCTTCGTTCGCGCGAGACCGATGGGCCGCGTGCGAGACATCTGCTTGCAGTCCCATCCGCACATGGCTTTGTATGACTCAAACCTCTGCGACTTGGCTGCGGGACATTTAGAGGGGTTATGAAACTCATGAGGGAGATCAAATCATCCGACTGCTAAACGCTCTCGTGTACAACGGCGCCCGTTCTTGTTGCAGTCTCACTTTTTCGGAAGACAGAATTGAAGAAAAACAAACGTTGATCGTCAAAATCTTTCGAATCGTTTCGAAGATCAATTTTTATCTGATTAATTAAGTAAAGTCTGAACAAAAAAAGTGCGATGGATGCCATGCTTGCAAGTGATTTTATCAGCGTGCATTTCTCTTTAGATACTCTGGTTTTGCTAAAACACTTCCGTTTGCTTTACATGTTACAGAATCATCCTCGATGGCCGGAAATAAGTTGTCATGTCAAGGTAGCATGTCCCCTATACGACTGCGCATCGTCACCGGGTAATGTTTGCAGGGGAAAGCGTGCGCACTACGTAAGGACCAGTCAACGAACGTCCTCGAACATTACGCTGGTCTTGCCACAGCCTTCAGCACCGCTGTCGCTGTCCGGCTAAGATGTGCGGCATGGCCGTGGTGGAGACAGGGTGACGTCACCAAGAGCACAGGCCATCGGAATACTCGATCAATATTCGCATGCAGTCAGTCTGCCTTGAAAATGTCGACCGTTCTTGCTCGTTATGCCGCTTGGTTCCTCTTGGTCAGTGTCTTTGAATGATAGCATTCATTATATGCTATCGACACATGGCATGCCAAACGAAGTATATCAATCATGTTGTCCGAGAAAAGACACCACATGAAGAACACAATATCAAACGCTTGCTGCTTCATTGCGATCTTTCACCATCCCAGACGTAGAGCTACCAGAGGTGCTTAGCAATGAACGAAGCCACTTCACCTGAGCACCTTAGCGAACAAAAGGCAAATGGCAGGGGCTGTTAAACGGAGAAAACATTACCCAGCGCACCATACGCAGACCCATTCCGGTAATTTATCGCTGTTTACCGGTTCCAAACGGCACCTGCGAGGGGTCCATCCATGAAGTTCGGGTCCAGACAGCCCATCGTTTCCACGGAAACAGGGGCCGTCAGCGACTGCGATTCGTAGCACCCGTTACAATCAATCTGGCTCTTGCTCGCTGAATCAGTAAATGGTTGTAGGATTTCGTAAGTTCGAAGACATGAACCGAGTCAGCTACCCGTATCGAAGACCAGATTTGAACCCAATGTGATGTCAAAGACAGGTATTCCTTTTTTTGTAATCTGCGCACTTCCGCTGAATTGAGTCGACTCAATATCGACGTATTTTTTGTTCTTTGTCTTTCTCTTTTTTCCCTTTCTTCTTCTCTTTTTTCCTCTTTTTCTTTTTTCTGTTTTTTGCGTCACATTATTGGTGTCTCCCAGACATAAAACAGGATAATGTTGGCGGCTTAAAGAATAATTTGAATGAAAGTATTGCCTACATCTTCCCGATTGCAATCATGTGTCGTCTTTAAACCCCCACTTCAAATGCCATACAGTGATATCACTACACCTGGAATGTAAATGTGGTAGTCAAATACAATCAGATACAGGGCAACAGCATACATTCGGCATTCTATGACCCGTCAGTCACCAACTCCCCGTCGAGGCAGCCTGGCGTCCGCTGATGTGGGGAGGGTTAACGCCGCGGCCCAGGCCGTTGGCTCAGAGCTGGGATACTGCGGACAACAGCCCAGGTCGTTCGCTCAGGGTTGGAGTCATGCGGAGGTTTATCGCCGCGGCCCAGGTCGTTCGCTCAGGGTTGGAGTCATGCGGAGGTTTATCGCAGCGGCCTAGGCCGTTTTTTCAGGGCTGGAGTCATGCAGAGGTTTTTCGCAGCGGCCCAGGCCGTTCGCTCAGAGCTGGGGTCATGCGGAGGTTTACCGCCGCGGCCCAGGCCGTTCGCTCAGGGTTGGAGTCATGCGGATGTTTATCGCAGCGGCCCAGGCCGTTCGCTCAGAGCTGGGGTCGTGCGGAGGTTTATCGCAGCGGCCTAGTCCGTTCGCTCAGAGCTGGGGTCATGCGGAGGTTTATCGCAGCGGCCCAGGCCGTTCGCTCAGAGCTGGGGTCATGCGGGCAGCGCGGCGGTCAAGGAGACGAGCAACGCCGAGCCAGCTGACGTGACGTCAAGCCCAAGGAGCAACTCGTGGATCGGTGCCAGTCGGGCCCCAGTTCGTCCCAGCTGTTGACTGCCGCTCGCCTGCACCGCGGCTTTCACTCAAAAGCTGTTCATCAGGTTATCGGTGGGGCATCAAATCAGGCGGCGAGCATCGGCAGCGAGGCTTTGTCAGTGATCCGTTTGGCTGCTGTTTACCGCTCTTCAAGCGCACCACCGTTTTCACCGTAATGGTTGGCCTACTCTGGAGGGAATCATGTGTCGATATTCCTCGGGAAGCGATTTGAACGGATGCGACTTACTGCCAGTGATTTGAGGAAAAGTCGACCCAAAACATTGTTCAAACTGATCACTGACCTTCAGTTGAACGTCAAGAAAACAAAGCAGACATGCATGCCAAGTGCACGGGCATTTGTAGTGCTACGATTGTAAACAAGTCGACGAAATGCATGTAATCAGTCAAAGTGGTTCAAAGCCGCAGTCGACTTCGTAATGCCATAAAAACGTGGAAGCTCATTGTCATCATACTGAAGCTTGGTTTTATGCGTTGTGGTGTATGAGAATACCTAATCTAGTAATTGCCCTTTTCTACACACAAGTCGTACAATCAATTTAATATTATAATATAATGATCCCGCGAGGCCTTCATAGCAAACGTTGAGAAACTCAGATCGCATTTGAGCCGGAATAGCACGGGTGAGCAGCCCCGCTGGGCCTTGCGGGGCGGGACCGCGTCAGCAGCTCCACTGGGTCTGGCGGGGCGGGGCCGCGTCAGCAACTCCGCTGGGCCTGGCGGGGCGGTACCGCGTCAGCAGCTCCGCTGGGCCTGGCGGGGCGGGACCGCGTCAGCAGTTCCGCTGGGCCTGGCGCGGCGGGACCGCGTCAGCAGCTCCGCTGGGTCTGGCGGGGCGGGGCTGCGTCAGCAGCTCCGCTGGGCCTGGCGGGGCGGAACCGCATCAGCAGTTCCGCTGGGCCTGGCGGGGCGGGACCGCGTCAGCAGCTCCGCTCGGTGTGGCGGGGCGGGACAGCCCGGCCGAACCCTCCGGCCCGGTCGGCGGGGGGCCCCCCCCCCCCCCCCCCCCCCCCCCAGGCCGAGACCTGTGCCGCCGACTGTTTGTTCAGCACCGGCCTCCAGCGCCGAATGAGGAGCGGAAACTTTCAATCACTGGGGCCATTCACGACCAGCCAGCCCGTGGCTTCATTGTGTTTAACATTGGGCTTTTTCTTCACAGTGGCTGTGCGTCAGATTCGCATGGTAATTGTTTATCGGTAGGCGGACGCATTGAACGCGTCCGTTGACACGGACAAACAACACCAGGCCCCCATGCGCAGCGGTCGTATTTGCCTACTGGGCAGCATACGCGCCATTTCCACTCATGGGCAGTACACAAGACACCGG